AGCCTTTGCCATGTGGCTTGTACATCCTCTCCCTAATCACATAGGCCTGGAAAAACCTTGGAGTCCCCTGTTCATAGGCAGCATGTCCCTACGCATCCGGCTGACTCAGATGTAGCCCCGGGCTTCGTTCCACAGTTTCTTTGTATAGCTGATTGCCTTTGATAGGCCATCAAGCAAGCTAGATGGTGCTGGTGCCCTTTTGTCTTGGGATGTCACCCAGAAGCACAGTACAAGTTCGAAATTCAGATAAATCAAAAATATATAATTCACAACACAAAGATGATACAAACCTGTAAACAAGATTATCATACTTGGCAAATCACAACATTTTCACAGATATCTTACACTGCATATCTGGTCAGATTCATTGCAATTTTATAATATTGGTATCAATAATATCATAAAGTGTCTCACATATGCCATACAGCATCAGTGTGATTTTACCTTTTTTTGAGTGTCTGATATATAATGAAAATAATAATTTGAAGAACATGGTGAGGTCACATTTGACCTGAAGTTTAAGCTTCATCAAAATAATCTTTTGTGAGACTCAAGACCAATAGAAATGTTTTTACTGAAATTTAAAAGTGAATTCAGTCGGGAACATATTTTTAAAACTAACTTGCCGTGTTTGCCATATAAAGATTGTATCATTATGCAATATATAATAACCTTAAAGTGAAATTGGCAAAAAATTAACTATAGGAATAAAAGGAAAACTTGTTAATCTGTTTTCATGGTTCAATCTGGTAAATACAAAAAGCAAATGATTACATAAATAGCAAAAAATAAGTATTACTTGTAAAGATGTCTCCATTTTTATCACTTGTGATGGTATCTCTAACATAGCTAAGGGAATTTCAGTACTTAAATGATTTTGTCTTGACACTGTCTCTTTAACAATCCTACTGGAAGTTGCCATCTTGACAGTTTTATGATGCAGAGTAGGATGGAGACAATACTGTGCCTATTTGAAAGCACTGAAAATTTAAGCACTTCAAAGTTATATTAAGATAAGTTTGATTATTTCTTTCAGATTGGTTGATTTGAATTAGTTAAATCAATTATTAAATTAACCTGAACAAATTTTTAAAAATAGAACTTATCTTAAACAACTTAAAAGAGAGAGAAGGCGGGTGAGGTAATATCTTTTATTGGACCAACTTCTGTTGGTGAAAAAGATAAACTTTTGATCTACACAGATCTCTGGTCTGGGAAAGGTACTCAGAATGTCACAGCTAAACACAAGGTTTAGCATAAGTAGTTAACACACATTCTAAGGGGCCATTCAAGGTAAAGTGGTCCTGTTACCACCCCGGCAGTTATAGGACAAAAGGGGAGTGGAGGGGGGCGGAGAGAAAGGAGGGTTAGTGGGTTACAGATTGTTATAATAAGCCATAAATCCAGTGTCTTTATTAGGACCGTGATTTTTAGTGTCTAGAAAAGACATGCAGTTAACCTTCAGGCTTGTCTTTTGATAGTGTCCTGCAAGTTTCTTTTGAGGACGAGGACTGAGAGATCAGACGGAAAGTGATCACTTTGTGAAAAGTGTTTGCCCATGGGTTATGTGATGTTTTTGTCTTTCATTTTTCTGTGTGATTCATTCAAGATCCTAGTGATTGTCTGGTTTCACGCACATAGTTGTTATTGGGACATTTAATGCACTGGATGAGGTACACCCACATTTGTGATAAGCATGTGTAGAACCCATGGGTCTTGAAAAATGTGTTGTGGAAGAGTATTGATCATTATAGCAGTGGATATATGTCTGCAGGTTTTGCAGCTGTTGTTCTGTTGGGGTCTGGTGCCACTTCGAGTTGGTATGTTCTGGTCTGTGGGGAGCTTACTTTTGATAATGAACTTGATGAGGTTAGGGGGTTGTTTGAAGGCCAGAAGAGGGGTTTTGGGAAAGATTTCTTTTGGATGTTGTCCCCATCAAGTACCTGGATATCATGCAAGAAACGCAAAACAACTTCAAACAAACAAACAAACAACCTGTGATGACAGCCATCCAGTATAAAAACAAAAGTATAACCAACTACAACAACTCCACTACCCACAGAACTTCACATCCAGGATAAGCCAGGGCACCAGGACCCACCACATGGGCACTACACAAAACCACGACAACATCAGTTTATCAAGAATGCCCTTTACTGGAGCTGATTATCTCTACTCTCCAAGGGACTGAACTTCAGCCCCACCTCTGAACCTGATACTATACTAACATGTCGCGAACTAGAAGAATTCTTTCGCCAACTCCACCTCAAGAATTCTTTCACAGCAATGACATCATCACCCACAACTACCATGTCCCCACTGACAGGCATAAGAAAAAAGAATGAGCTCACTGGACACCCGACAGCGGATGAACCCACACTCTTGATCATTATTACATTGATGGCTTGAAGAAAAATATTGACTGTGAAATCTTGAACAAACATCACACAACCGCAATCTCTCCATTGCTGAGAGAACAGCTATACAATCCATGAAATCCAACCGCCATATAGAGATTAAACTAGCGGACAAAAGGGGTGCCATCATAATTATCAACTGTGATGACTACGTAAATAAGGATAACCGACAACTCTCCGACACCACCTATTACAGAGAACTCAAAGACCCCGCATCATAATTCACCAGGATATCAAATCCTTCCCCAAACAACTCCAAGAGAAACTCCACAACCTCATCCCCCATGAAACTATCCCAGCGATCTTTTACAAGCTACCCAAGATGCACAAACAAGGGAACCCAAGCAGACCTATCATATCTGGCCTTGGCACTTTTATTGAAGGAATATCAGGACTCAGAAACCATCCTCAAACCACTCACCACACAAAGGGCCAGCTTCCTCCAGGACACAACTGATTTACTCCAGAAATTTCACAACATTAACAACCTCCCTCAGAACACCATCCTTATCACCATGGATGTCACCCCCCTATACATCAACATCCCTCTCAATGACCGCATCGCTGCCTGGCTCATATATCTACAAGACAATGGACAACCGGCAGAGATCCACTCCAAACACATCACCAGACTCATCCATTTCATCCTCACCCATAACAATTTTACATTCAACATGCACTTTGCCCAAACCATGGGAATAGGATGGCTTCCCAATATGCCAAACTTTTCATGGGACACCTTGAGGAGGAATTTCTGAACAACTGCACCATGGAACCAATGATATACCTGAGATACGTTGATGATACGTTGGTTGAAACTATAGTAAAGAACAAAATTGTCAGACACATAGATGAACATAATTTGTTGGGAAGAGTCAGCATAGTTTTTTGTAAAGGGAAATCATGCCTCACCAATCTGCTAGAATTCTTTGAGGGAGTCAACAAGCATGTGGACAAGGGGGATCCAGTGGATATAGTGTACTTAGATTTTCAGAAAGCCTTTGACAAGGTCCCTTACCAAAGGCTCTTAATCATAGTAAGCTGTCATGGGATAAGAGGGAAGGTCCTCTCATGGATTGTTAACTGGTTAAAAGATAGGAAACAAAGGGTAGGAATAAATGGTCAGAATTGTGAGAGGTAAATAGTGGTGTCCCCCAGGGGTCTGTATTGGGACCAGCCCTATTCAACATATTCATAAATGATCTGGAAAAAGGGGTAAACAGGGAAGTGGCAAATTTTTCAGATGATACAAAACTACTCAAGATAGTTAAGTCACAGGCAGACTGCGAAGAGCTACAAAAGGATCTCTCAAAACTGGGTGACTGGACAGCAAAATGGCAGATGAAATTCAGTGTTGATGAATGCAAAGTAATGCACATTGGAAAACATAATCTCAACTACACATATAAAATGATGGTGTCTAAATTAGCTGTTACCACTCAAGAAAGAGGTCTTGGAGTTTTCTGAAAACATCCACTCAATGTGCAGCGGCAGTCAATAAAAGCGAACAGAATGTTGGGAATCATTAAGGAAGGGATAGATAATGAGACAGAAAATATCATATTGCCTCTATATAAATCCATGGTACACCCACATCTTGAATACTGCGTGCCGATGTGGCTGCCATATGAGGAGAGATTAATAAGACTGGGACTTTTCAGTTTAGAAAAGAGCTGAGTAAGGGGGGGGATATGATAGAGGTCTATAAAATCATGACTGGTGTGGAGAAAGTAAATAAGGAAGTGTTATTTACTCCATCTTATAACTCAAGAACTAGGGGTCACCAAATTAAATTAATAGTTAGCAGGTTGAAAACAAACAAAAGGAAGTATTTCTTCATGCAACGCACAGTCAACCTGTGGAACTCTTCGCCAGAGGATATTGTGAAAGCCAAGACTATAGCAGGGTTCAAAAAAGAACTAGATAAATTCATGGAGGATAGGTCCATCAATGGCTATTAGCCAGGATGGCAGGGATGGTGTCCCTAGGCTCTGTTTGCCAGAAGCTGGGAATGAGTGACAGGGGATGGATCACTTGATGATTACCTGTTCATTCCCTCTGGGGCACCTGGCATTGGCCACTGTTGGAAGACAGGATACTGGGTAGATGGACCTTTGGGCTGACCCAGTATGGCTGTTCTTATGACCCTCCTACCCTGCAGGGCCTAGAGTCCAGGCTCCAGCCTGAGCCCGGAAGTCTATCCAATGAAAGAGCATGAGCCCAAGTCAGCTAGCACAGGCCAGCTGTGGGTTTTTCTTTGCTGTGTAGACATAACCTGTGAAGGTTTGGGGGTGTCAAGAGTACTGGTTATGTTTGCAAAAGAAGCAATCCAAAACACTATGTGGCTTCTCATGCAGCATACAACAAAAACAACTGTATGGTTTTATTTTCCATATAAAACTTTGCAGATTTGTAGCTGCTGCCAGACTGATGATGAATATGAGCTACCCACGCAAGAAAACAGAGATAATGCCTACTGAAGGCAAGCGAAATTGAATATACGCTCTGTATAAGGCAGCATGTGGGAGAAGCATTTGTTATATAGTGAATGTCTGAGTAAAATTGTATGTCATGTTTCTTTAGGCTCTCAACAGGAGATGTGTAGAAGCAGCAGTGATGACAGGCCTTGCACTGAACTGCAGCATAAACAAGAAGTCCTTGTTTGACAGAAAACACTATTTCTATGCAGATCTGCCTGTAAGTATGCATTATGGTTGGTCCCTCTATAGCTGTAGAAAAGGATGAGTCTGGAGTAGGGCTGGCGGTAGCAAAGAGATGCTTTTTATGTTTTCAATCAGTGTTCTGCCCAAACTAACAGGATGCTGCGCCAAGCCCTGATGAATAGATAGCTATACCCTAGTGCTCACTGATTGAATATGATTGCCCTGATTGCTGACTCCTTGCTTAGCCTCACGATTCCAGTGGCTTTATGTAATTGAATTGGGAGATGGAGCTGCTGTGCCCGTACTTTCTCCATTCCTAGTATTAGCACTAATTGTCTGTTAGGGTAAAAGCAAACCAGTCTGATAATAGCCCCTCTTTTAAAATGAATGTGTAGCAAACACACATTACAATAGTATAAACATCATAGCATCTGTTTTTTGTTTTTGCTTTTAAATTTAAGGACCTATAAATATCACATTTGCTTTTCAAACATTCTAATCTTTGCCAGGATCTTGAATGAACTTAATAAATGTGCCTTTGCCACATGCAGTAATAGGTTTGGATCCTGTGGATTGCTTTAATATTTGGAATAAACTGTCTTTGGAAGTGAGCTGCACTTCACTGCACTTGACAAAGTCAAGTAAGAATAGGAAATTAGTTGAGAGTCTGGTTTTACCTTTTTGACAGCGTACAGCAGAGCGCAAGGACCTTATTTTTGTTTTAACAAAGTCACAGTTCTAACTTTAAAGATGGCCTTTCCCTCCATATATTTGTTCTGGATGTTGTTGAACATAAAAGTGGCCTGTAAAGGGGAAAACAATGGATTTGCTTCACTTTGCTTTTTTTGAATAAAGAAGACTTAAATGCTTTGTCCTGCTTGTGTTTTACCCAAGAAAAATCAGGAATATCAAATCTTATTTTCCCAATTTTTCTTGGAGGTGTCCTTTGGAGGTCCAGAGAATTAGGGGAGGGAGTGTTCTTCAGGCCATAGATCAATGTGTAAAGGTGTTGAAACTTTAATCAAAGATTTTTTTCTCCCAACTGTTTGTTCAGGCATTTGAGATTTTTTTAAGAACATAAAACATAGAATTTTTGAATAAAATTCCATTTCCCCCCTCATTTGATGTCCTTGGAAGAAAGATGATATCATGGTTAATGCATAGCTGGGACCCAGGAGATCTGGGTTCAATTTCCATCTCTGCTAGAAATGTCCTCTTTGTCCTTGGGCAAGTTATCTCTGTGCCTCAGTTCCCTATCTATGAAATTGGCATAATGCTTCCCTACCTTGCTTGCAGGGTTGTTGAGGATAAAGTCATTAATATTTGTGAGGCACTTGAGCCCCAATCCACAAAGTAACTTAGGTGTTGCGATGCTTAAAGAGTCTCAGGGCCAGATAGTCAGTCTCACTGTCGCTCTCTATGTAGCCTGGTAGTTAGGGCGCCCATGTGGGAGGAGGGAGACCTAGGGACCAGTCCCCATGCTTCAATTACTATTTAATTTTTTATACATAATGATACAGCTGCAACAGGAGAGGTTGAGGGAGCCCCACAGAATATCCCATATCTCAGAGGTTAGAGCACTCTCTTGAGAGGTAGGAGATCCCTGTTCAAATCCTTTCTCCTCCCTCAGGCAGAGGGGTGAATTGAACCTGGGTTTCCCACATCCGAGATGAGTGCTCTAACCATTGGGCTAAAAGTTGTAAAGTGGGTGCCGTTGGTGCCTGATTTTGCATGGGACCCCATCTGGTAGGCAGCCATCGAGCACACTTCCCATATTGGGCCCTCCAGGCAAGATAGGCGGGCGAACATCTGTCTTCCCTCGGTTCACGGATAGCTCTGGGACTAGGCAGGAGATAGGCATTTGGATGCCTAAGAGGGAGGCAGCATTGTGCCTACCCTGAGGCAGCAACGTAGGTATCTAGGTAACTTTACCCTGAGAACATAGGTACCAAGTGAATTTAGGCACCTAGAGGGTTAGGCAGCAGTGGAACAAAAGTTTTGTGGATTGCAGTGGAGCCTAAAACTGGGACTTAAACACCTACGTACCTGTGTGGATCTGGGCCCTCCATACTATAGTGATGGAGGACATATAAGTACCTAGATAGATAGTTACTTTGGTCGTCAATACACTCCTAGTTCTGCAGTCATTATCAATAGTCTTCCTGATAAAAAACAGTAAGTTAACAAGAGCTGAAATTCTAAACAAGCAGGAGAAAAAAGAAGAAACAAAAGAAGCAACGCCCAGCTTTTCAAACTGGCTTTATGCATCATGAAGAAGAAGAAAAAAGAAATCACAAACCCAATTGCCGGTCACCTTTAAATTGTAGGTGGTTCTGCTCCTACATTAAAGAATGTTCAGACTTTCCTGGTGGTGATCGCTCCACCAATAAAAAACGAACAGAAAAGAATGAAGCCGAGTAAAAATTAGTCCATCTGTTTTGAAAGAGAGCGCAATGGGAAGATGCATCTTCAGGTAGCATATGTAGTACATAGGCACTGTGTTCTGCCACTACCTAACGGCTTATATTACAGCATCTTCTAGTCAAATAATTAGGAAAATTTGGGTCAAGAAGATACCTGACACACTGTATTAGCTTTAAACACAGAGAACTCCGGATCTTCTAGCAGCTGGCATCTATAGTGTTGAGCACTGACTGTAAAATGCCCAGCCTGCATTTTGTAATACGGCAGTCTTCTCTGGAGCCCTATAACAAGATACAGAGTTTAAGCTAATGAGCTGAATGGAATAGATAAAATAAATCCTGCTCTTAGGGTCTTTTGACAATGGGATTATTGTTACTCCAGAAAATGGGGCTTCGGATGGGAATTGGGATTCTTGTTATTTATTGTCACACACCATTTGAGGCTTTTTAAAAAAATCACTTTAATGAGAAGCTGGGGGAGGCAGGAAAAGCTATGTGCATAGATTATATTGAGCCTATAGAATGGAGTCAATTGTCTCATTTTTATTACAGTGCTTAAAACTAGGTTTGGCAGAATTCAATTTTTATTTTTTATAGTTTTGATGGATAATATCAATGTTTATTTTTAAGCATTTGTTTTGTTTTTATCTAGTTACATTTTCACAGCTGCATGAAATTATGGGGGGTGTCAGACAATAGATATTTAATGACTAGATGTTGAGATTCAAAAAGCTAAAGCTTTATCGCTGTTAAAAACACAAATTGACAATATCACATGTCAAAATATACAAAGTAAATATCCTGAAATCAAACTCTAATAAGTTCTCCGGCCTATCTGAAAAGTTGATTATCATTGGTAGAAATATTTTTTCATCAGTTTGTGTGCATACAGTGAAATTGATGTTTATTGATTAAAACTCTAATACTGTACTACCAAGCGTACTTACAACTAGAAGTTTGCACACTTCACTGCTTATGTAGGTCAAGTTGTACACCCAGCTTGGCCCTTTCCCCTTCACTACAGCTGGGCCCCTCTCCCCTGCTAGTCAGGTCCAAACACTGTTGATTTTGGTGAAAATCAGAAAAGACTGATTTTCCACTAAAACTAGGCTTCCCCAGTTTTTCGATTTTCACCCAAATCAATAGGGTTCTGGCCAGTGGGGGAGAGCGAGGGGCCCAGCCAGAGTGAGGGACATGGATAAGGGTGCCCTGGCTAGACTCACCCCTGTGTCCAGACTGACACAGGCTTCTGTGTGAGGGGTCACTGTCTCTACCTGTATCCTGAGTGACCAAATGGTGATTTTAGTGGAAATCAGGCTTTTCTACTTTTTCTGATTTTCACCAACAGCAATAGAGCTCTGGCCAGAGTAGGAGTGACAGTCCCAGCTATTCGTGGAAGGGGGGGCTGGCATGTGGGGCCAAGGGGCCTGGCTGAGGGGGTTGGGCCTGAGTAGGCCAGTCCATCTTGGGACAAGAATTAAAATTATTGTTCATGTAATGACAATTCTGAACACAGACCTGATTCTGTATGCAGGCTGGCTATCAAATCACTCAGCAGAGACTTCCTGTTGCTGTGAATGGGAGTCTTTCATACAGCCTCTGTGTAGGGGGAAAAAAGAACCAGATGGTAACCAGGACTGTGAGGATCAAGCAGATCCAGTTGGAACAAGACAGCGGAAAGAGTCTTCATGATGACATAAGGAGCCAGACTCTCATTGATTTGAACAGGGCTGGTAGGCTTGAATCACTTTCTTATCCCCTCAGTCTTTTTATGTATGAGCTGAATATTTAAAACTAATTGGAGTGGCAGTGCTGGGGTGGGGTGGGATCTGGTTTGTTGCTTTCAATAAACATTTTTAAATGAGACTTAAATGTGTAAAAAAAATTCCATATCTGGCTAATGTTCATCTTTTCTGGCCTGTTTGCTGATGACAAAGTGGCACTGGCCAGTCAGAAGGCTAGTGGCTCAGTTTCTCAAACCTGTCTGCCAGCCAACGTACAAATAAGACCTTTAACATGTCAAGGGGGTATTCAGAGGGACAGAGGAGCCACTTATGCTCCTGCAGCTGTAAGTGTTGTTTAAAAAGTGCAGACTCTGAATGGAGCAACATGGCAGAAATGCACAGACGGCAGAGTGGGATGTCAGTGCTTGAGTCAGAGTGGCTTTTAATTTTTAGCTTTTATAAAAACAATCTTTCTCCATAAAGCTCTAAAATGTCTATTGTATAAATCAAATGCTGACCAACAAATCCATGTACCTAAATGTGTAGTTAGGTGGCGTAAATACCTGGCCTGACTTTCAGAGATGGTGAGCTGCCAGTGAAGTTGAGGGCTGCAGGTGCTCATCACTGCTGAAAATCGAAACATTTAGTTATGCGCCTAACTATGGATTTAGATGCTTAACTTTAGGCCCCACACTTGCAAATGTTGACTAATACCTTTACTCTAGGAAGCTGTAAGAAAACTGTGATTGCATTAAGTTACCTGAATGTAATGAGAAAATGAAATTGGGAAATCAGGTGGACTGTTCGTAGGAGTTTTCTCAGAGGAAAGATGAATAATTTTTCCATTTGTTTCCTATGTCATCAAAGGGGGGAGTGCGTGGAAATGCCTTTAAGTTAAATCTTAAAAATAAAACCAAAAATAGTCTATGTAACAATCCTGCAGATAGCCCCATTTTGACAGTTATTAAATAAAACATGGCTTCCCAGTTTTCTCAAACAAACCCAAGTGCTGTCATGTGTTTAGCTTGTTGCACTTTAATATGTCAAGATCAAAAGCTACTGCTGGGAATCTCATTCCTGTCTCTTTCTGGTAGGTGTTGGCCTCATGGAGGTTGTCATGGAGCCTGATATGAGCTCTGGGGAAGAGGCAGCTGCAGCAGTCAGAGAGCTTCAGCTTATTCTTCAAACACTTGGGAGCAGCCAGGCAATCATGGCAGGTAAAGGAGCGGGCAGGGCAATGTTCCCTCCAGTTAATTGTAATTCTCTGCATTTGCAGGCGTAGTTTCACAGCTTCTGGTTATTTTGCTCTGTAGTTGCCTAACATTTAGCATTTTCTTAATGCTGCTTCCTTATTTTAAAATCTTCAGTGTCTGTATAAGGTCAGCTATGCTTCAAGTGTCTTTATAGGCCCAGCTTCCTCTGCGGCACTTGGATTTTTATACTGCCGCATACATCAATTTTACATGATGGACCAGGGCAGGATGAAGTAGCACAGCGTTCTTGTTATTTTTCACTTATTGTCTTTCTCTGCTCATCTTGCATGTACTTAACTGTGAATGGGAAACATTGTAACAGTGATTAGTAGTTGAGAGTGAAGGCTCCCGGCACAGATGATTGTGTAAGTTAAATTTTGGGTGTAAATTGATCATAAAACAGATGTTCAGCGGTGAACCAGCGCAACTTAGTGATTTAACATCACATTCAGCCCCTGAGGTAAGCAAGTGCAACTCCCTGAGAGTTCAATCAGAGTTGTGCCTGCTCAGCCCAAAGTGGATTGTGACTCTGGGAATGTTGGGGAATGGTTCAGGTTTAATTTAAAATGATGGGTAATTAATAGTTCTTAGATATTAAGCTCTCTGGGGCAGGTATCGTCATATGTATTTATGCAGAGGGACATTGATCCTCACTTAGGCTTCTGGGCACTACTGTAATAAACAGAATATTAGTGGAGGCCTACTTTATCTTGTACCCTTAGGCTACCTGCTTTTTCTGAGGCAACTTCCACTGCCTCAAGATATGATTATCTTCACTTAAACTAGTTTTACACTATTGTAATTCCAGTGGATTTACCCCAGTGTTAGAGGAAACTCGGGCATTCGGTGGAGGTCACTCATTTTGCATACCTTCTGAATGCCAAATCGGCACATTACTCTGCGATTGATACAGACTTTATGATATACAGTAACTTACCATCATCTTTCATTGCTGAATTTCCCCGAGACTTCCATTGGCATGTCACCAACGTATCCCACACTATGTATAAAGAAAGACCTGCCACACTGGCAATATTTCCCCCCCCAATATTATTAGATTTTAAACAAAATCATTTTATTCAGGCGTGCTTAGTGAGGTATTTTTTACTTTTTTTTTTTAACCAGCATTGTTTGTGTTTAGGTGAGGGTTTGCGCCCTCACATTTTATCTTCTTTCTATTTGCGTGTGCCAGGAAGACACTTGCTGAATTCATCATCCATCACTTTGCAACAAACTGCTTGAAAGCATGACTTCACTGCAAGATAATCAAATAGGAGATGAAGCTGGGCAGTGAGGGAGACAGTCTTTTTAAAAATACACGGGCCCCAATTCTCTTTTCACTTATGTCTGGTTAATCCCATTCTCTTCTGACTAACAGCAGTGAGAGAGTAGAGTCAAACCCAGATCTTCAATAGAAGCAAAGTGAAGACAGAAGAATACTATTGACATATATTTCCTTTGGTACAAGTGTTCTCTTCTCCTCACCCCTAAGTATGATCCAGTGTGAACAGTCTCCTTTACAATGAACATTGGGGTCCCTTCTATACCTCCCTTCTTCATTTGCCTATTCAAGAAGTCTCCATCAATACAGAGAAGATTAACCAGATGACATCCATTCAGCATTTACAGAATGGGCAAGGTCAACGTTTGCGAATTTACATCGGCTGTCCTGAATGGGCTCTAAGGCTTTACACCTCTCTACAGATTTAACACTGGGCTATTGACATTGCTTTCACTAGTGCTGTTGTGTAAATATCAAATATTTGCTTCATTTTACAGCGTATTAATTTTAAGTTCAGATAAGGAAGAAGACTAGAGAATGGGTTTCCTCTGATGATATAGCAAGAGTCTTATGAGCTTATAGTGTGAGAGATGTATGCCTATGTTTTTCTTTTCTTTATGCCTAATTTGACTATCTCAACAAATTCTCTGCATAGATGGATGTTTTGGAGGAACCTGGTAAAACCAGCGAGATGGTCGGACAGGATCTCCTGGGGCTTCTGGTCCACCCCTTGCCTTAGAGTAGGTTTGCCCTCTGTGTAACTTTCTGTTTGCCTGTCTATGTTATGCTTTTGTCAGTCAGGAAGGATTCAAAATCATCTTTGCTGAGGAAGAAGATTACAGTTCCTTGAGGGAGGAAAAAACAAGTTTCTGACATTTGCCCTTCAGCTTTAAATTCCCAAGGATACTTCAATAAATCTACCCAGCATTGCTGTTAAAGTCTTGTGCTCCATGGTAGAGCAGTGTACAGCCATCAAGTAGTCATTTCAGGGGGTGTTTTCACCCACTTTTGTCGGGGCGAAAAAATAAAAACTGGAATCTTGCAGCCTGCTTTTTTTTTTTTAATTACTTGTCTTTTAGGTGATTCACCCTAATTCTGTCCTCCCTTTACAGGACATAACCTCTCTCCTAGAGTATGGTTTTAAGAACTATGTTTTTAAGGAGTATGGTTTTAAGCCCATGCACTTACACTATACAGCTGTCTTTGAGAAGAATCATGCCATTCCATTCCAAAAGGTAGTATTCTCAGAAAATTCAGTTGGAGATTTAAAATGGAACCATAAATAGGAAGCTATGATAAGGCAGCTGCTCTCTTCCTGATCTCAGATCTTTTACAGAAGTCCAGTATAAACATCCTGTACATAACATGCTGCTTATTAACATATGCCAAGATCATCTACTCTAGTGATGTTTCCTTTTATAGAGGGTCAACTGAGAGTGGATGCCAATGTATCTGTGCATCACCCCGGAGAAGCTTACGGAGTAAGGACTGAAGTGAAGAATATCAATAGTGCACGATTCCTGGCAAGAGCAATAGGTAAATGTTATTTGCTCCTTTACTGAAATACTAGATACTTTTCATCTAGGTGACAGAACCAAGTCTCACAAAATGTAGGTATGTCGGCCACATTGGCTGTCAGTTTTATTGTGGAAGTGATCCTCTGTCTCCAAGGAGAGTAAAGTGGATGATTTAGTATTTAGTATGTTCTGCTTTGAAAGATTCTAGCAATACAGCAGCTCTGTGTCCTCAGATGAAGTTGATTGCTTTCCCAGGGCACGGTGTCTGGTGTGTGTGACGCGCAAAGGGCGTGTAGCTGCAGTATGGGTATGGGCAGGAAAGGAGAAACAATGCATCTCCCAAGAAAAAATGCAGGGAGATTGGATGGAGAGCCTCCACTTAACCCCTGATGTGATGATGGGAAAACTGCTTTTGCTGTACAGTTTAGCTGAAGTCTGGAGTGTCTGGAACTGGTTGCGGTGTGTGTACGTGGGGGGGACCTCCTTCCTTCCCCCCTCTCGCCCCGCAGGAACCAAATGTACACACAGCAGTGCCAGAGAGAGGTCAGTTTTGCCAGTAATTCTGTCCCTAATTGATTGCTTTTGGTTTCAGTAAGTTTAAAATAATCTTTTCATTTACTGCCTGGCAATGAAGAATACAGTAATGGGAGGTATAAAAATGCAGTGGGTGCAATAAAAAGCAACAGAGAGTCCTGTGGCACCTTTAAGACTATCAGATGTATTGGAGCATAAGCTTTCGTGGGTGAATGCCCACTTCGTCGGATGCATGTAATGGAAATGTGGGTGCAGTAATGTAACTCAGCTGAATTTTTTTTTTGTCAGACTATGAAATACAGAGGCAAATCAAGGAACTTGAAAATGGAGGAACTGTTATGAATGAAACCAGAGCCTTTGATTACAAACTTGGGTGAGTTCATATTTTAGAGAGGTATTTGAAATAGCATCTTTGGAGTTCTAATGCTTCCTAGTGAGATTGTCACTGGTGTTGAAACGTCCTCTCTCCATTTCTGTTTGTTTGAATTACCATTCAGGAGTGTGGTCCCATCACAGGCATTAATTATATTACAGTAATGCCTAAAGGCCTCAACTGATGCCCGTTGTGCTAGGCACAATCCCTTCTCTGAAAACCTTTCAATTTAAATAGACAAGACAGGTTAAGCATGGGAGGGGGAACAGGCACAGAGAAGTGAAGTCACACAGCAGTTCAGAGGCAGAGCTGGGACTAGAACCCAGGTCTCCTGAGTGCCAGGCCCATACCGTATACACTAGACTGTTCCAACTCTCCCCAGGGACATGTACTGCTCTCTTGCCTGTAGTAAGCTACTGAAATTATTTAACAATTGTAGAATCCAGGTAAACTTATTTTAAGTCAGACAAAACTTCCACTGGAGTGCAGTGGGACTTTAGCCTGTGAAAGGCTGTAAGATTGGGCCCTATATGTTTCTGGTGCTATAGAATCAGACCACCTGATGTATCTTCTTTACTCTCTCTTTTTTGTGGTGTGATAAACGAAGGGGCGGGGGTAGCTCCCTTTTATGGACACCCACCCAGCCAGTAGCTATAAAATCCCTCTTAGTAGCTGTTCTCTAATTGCTCTACCTGTAAAGGGTTAAAAAGTCTCATTGCTATGCATAGGTAAAAGGAAATGAGTGGGCACCTGGCCAAAAGAGCCAATGAAATTGAAAAAAGACTCCCCTTTTGTCTGTCTTCTATTGTTCTCCTGGAGAGAGGCGGACAGGGCAGCAGCTATGCTGTAAGAAGCTTGGGCCAGGTATGAAAAATCATCAGTATCATACATAGAAAACTACTCATTTAAAACCCCAGATATGCAAGTAGATCAGGAAATGTCTAGGAAGACGCGATTAGGTTTATCCCTTTTATTTCGTTATGGCTTGTGGATTCCTCTGTGCTAACCCCAGGTGCTTTTGTTTTGCGTAACCTTTAAGCTGGACCTCAAGGGAGCTATTCTTGGTGCTTAATCCTTGTAGTAACTCTTTTAAAATCTAGCAATAGCCTGAGTTCCCAGATGTATTTTCTTTCTTTTCTTTTTTTAAATAAAATTTACTTTTTTTAAGAACAGAATTGGATTTTTGTGTCTTAAGAAGTTTGTGCACATGTTGTTTAATTAGCTGGTGGCAACAGCTGATTTCCCCCCCCCCCCCAGCTCTTCCCCGAAGGGAGGGTGAAAGGGCTTGAAGGGTACCCCACAGGAAGAAATTCCCAAGTGCGCCTTCCTGGGCTTCTGCCTTGCATGGTGGCAGCATCTACCAATCCAAGGTCAGAGAAAAGCTGTAACCTTGGGAGTTTAATACAAGCCTGGAGTGGCCAGTATTAATTTTTAGAATCCTTGCGGGCCCCTACCTTCTACACTTGAAGTGCCAGAGTGGGGAATTAGCCTTGACATGTGGTTTTGTTTCTTTGCCAAGTAGCACTAAAGTTAAATATTTGTAATATTGAGAGAAAATGATAAACTCTACATGGGGTTGTGTGGGGGTAGAATTGGACTCCATACTTGAACAGGCTTAATGAAGCTTTCTTGATCTCCATGGTGTAAAGTTATTTGCCACAAAACTAGTTATGCAGAGGTACCAGCATGACTAGAGAGAGAGTAAAACCCATCATATTTAATATTTTACCTGTGTTGTCTTATTTTAGGTGTACCATACCAATGAGAGATAAAGAAGGAAAACAGGATTATCGGTAATGAAGATCATTTTATTTCTAAAGTTAACTTTTATTCTAGAACTAAAAGCCCAGTTCACCTCTTGAATGCCCTCAACCTCTGTTGACTTCAGTGGGAGTCGAGGACACTGGATACCTCTCAAAATCAGGTTCTTTTCACAGCAGTTGAGAATTTGGGCTCCATCCTATCTATCCCTGCTGAAATCAGTGGGGACGTTACTACATGTTTGAGTTGAATTGTTGGTGGGCTCAGTTCATATGCTAAGGGTGATTATGTAGTGGCATAATAATCATTAGTGTATTTTTAGGCATGTTTTGAGCTCAGTGAAGTCACTTCTCCTTTTTAAGCATTTACTGAGGAAAATTACCAATGTTCAGATTATGGGGCCTCATATATCATGGTGGCTTATCTGTTCTCCCATGAAAGACAATGGATGTTTTACTATTGACTTCAGTGAGAGAGCAGAGTTAGACCAAGGCAGAGCATTTTTAAAAATTCTACCCTAGATTTACAAGTTTACAGATGAGTATTTGTGGAAATACGGCAGTAACCATTATTTAGACAGAATGGATTTTCAGTTTTTGACAGCTAGTGCGCTTGGGCAGCTGGGGGCTAATATGATAGCCTGGTTAGCCTTTGTTTCTGCGTGCATGGGCGTTAGCTTAAAAAAAAAAGGTCTGTTTCACGAATTAATTCTCTATTACGTTAGTGTCAGGCCAGATCCTTATTTAACATGACTAATATGTATAACCGCTATAAGAAAATATTCAGGCAAATGTGGGTAGAAAGAGAGTCCAAGCTATTTCAGCTAAAGACAGACAAAACTTATTATATCAAGTTTTAAATTTCATTGTTCGTGTATTTTGTGAACTTGTGTGTGCACTAAACGCTGAATCTGAATCCAACACATTAAACATGATTTCTTTTTAAGTGCAATAGGCTCAAAGGGTGTGTCTCAAAGGTTTGCAAAGGCAAAAACAATTTTTTTTAATATATTTTGAGATTTATCAGTCCATTTGTTCATGTCAGGACAAAGGTTGCTGCTTGAATCACAATGCTTTTCTGATGGCTTGAATTAGCGTTCTCTTTGAGATCCTTTGTTTTTTGATGTTGTCACTCAGTTTTATTTACTATGACATCCTGCTGAGCATGGTAATTTTGCTTTTAACACAGCATGCGGTTTCATCAGTACTCCACAGGTTAGTATGAGAGAGGTTGCAACCTGAAAAGAGAACTCCTGGCAGCTGGCTGTCAGTATGCTTCTCTCCTGTCCAACCCACACTGCCTTGCTGGTCAGAATCACAATTCATGCTCACCAATAAGAGTGATGGGCTGCATCCACACTTAAAATTTTGGGTGTCAAATTTTTTAAATTACCCTTTTTCTATTGCTGGTTGCTTGGCAAACAGTGACAGCTCATCAGAGAGAAAATAGTGGCTGTGGACTGATTTTTTTCCTATTCGACAATAATCTACTGAGCTGTGAAGTTTCAGTATCTTGTTCAGTTAAATCCAGTAATACCATTTCCAGAGGAACATTAACTTTCGCATACAAATTTTACAGCCTGTTGTTGAGATGCTGAGGATTGTCTTGATTAAAAATAACCCCAAATTCGTCCCTCTTCATTCTCCCCAGGTTCATGCCAGAGCCAAACCTCCCTCCATTGATTCTGTACGATACTAAATCGTTGCCCGCTAATACGAACCATCAGCAAGTGGTGAATATTGATTGGATTCGGGAGAGGCTTCCTGATCTCCCCAGTGTGAGGAGAGTGAAGCTTGTTGAACAGTATGGGATTCTGCCTGAACACAGTTTCACCTTATTGGTAGGTCTATTGATCGAGTGCTAAAATAAACCAAGAAACCTCAAAGTTTCAGTGCTTAGAGAAAACGCACTGTAAAATGTCATATTAACCAGCTGTCAGCTGCTATGGATTTTTAAATTTGGAAATGTGTCTAACAGCTCTCTTAAATTGTACCTCCGTGCCAAATCCTTCAACCAGGCTCAGAAATAACATGTGCAGTTTGTTTCTATGAGAAGCGATTCTTGAACAAATAGGGAGCTAACAAATTGCTAGGGAATGATGATCTCATCTCTCTCAAAGTGGACTCATTAACAGTTCTGACTGCTGCAAGTATGCAACTTTTTGCTAACAAACTAAGTCTTGTCCACAAGTTCATGATCTTCACAGCAGGTATTGTTTTGTCTTTGTGTCTGGAACAGGGCCAAGCACATTGTCCATGCTTAACAAAATAATAAATGACCATTGTTTTTGTAAAATATGTATAACATTGAAGTTGGTGAAAACTTTGCCCGAAAAAAAAGGAAGTTGATGAGGTGAGGGGATTGTGGATGCAAATGAACAGATTGTTTAAAATCTGGAAACCTCTGGAATCCATCTAAAGACTATCCAGTCTCTTGAAAACAAATTGCAACATCCTTGTTCTCTTTCAATCCTTTTTGAATTGATCCAGCAGTGATGACTGTGTGTCAGTATTTAAATCAAATTTTACAGAAATCTCTTGAGAAGAAAGTGGCTAGGAAGGTTCTAGCCTTACTGGTATTGCATCTTACCAGTGAGTCATAAGTTTTCCTTATTGTGGTGGGAGATCAGTCATAAATCATGTAGAAATCCTATGGCTATGAAGGTAGCAGTTCAGAGATGTTGATTAATGATGTTAAAGTGCTTTGCAGCCAGTGTTTCTCTCCACACATGTATAAGCAACTTGACCTCAGGAAAAATTATCATTTATGAAAATAAATATGTTTTAATCAAGGACAGTAAACGGACCCTCCTCCATTTCACCTCAGTGACCCTTTTTTAGCTAATCCTTTCCCCTCTTTGCTATTACATAGTCTCATCGGTGATGATGCAAGAGCCTTCTCCTCTGCAGCTCTAGCCATATGTAACTGCTAGCTGTTTGTCTCATTGACTCTCCTTCACTTTGCAGATCTCACTTGAAAACATATTTTTTCCTTCCTTTTGCCTCTTAATTTCTCTCCTTTTGCAATTTGTTCTTGATAACTGTTAATTCTGAAGATGATTTTGGATTGCTGCTTGTGAGAAAGATGTACAAATACAGCTGCATTGAAAGTTGTTTTTCTTCAATAAACGAAGGGCGGGGTGGTCTCGTCTGTATTCTGAGTCTTTCTCCTTTTAGTGTAGATTAGGATGGCATCATTTTTATTCTCTGTACAAATTCACTTATTTGACTCACGGGGGAGAATAGTTAACCTTAATTAATCTGAAAATTATGTTTCCATTGCCTAACTCAGAACTACTGTAGATGGCTGATGGGGCCAGATGCACAAATCTAAGAAACAGTCTTTCAAGTTAGAGTGCCCAAGAGTTTTCATTAAATAAATGGCAGTGGTAGAGGGAGTCTTCAAAATGCAGAATCTGTACTCTACCCCAACTTGTTAGTGTGAACATTATGCACAAAAAAATGTGTTAAAATGTCAGACTTCAAAATGAACATTAGTTTCTTAGCTCACCATTGCATGAAGGCATTGCAGTAACTACTTATGTGTGGTCCAGTGTGGAAGATTGTAGCTCCTGCAGGACCTAAGTACAACAGGATGAACTGAAATGGAAGGACATCTTTCACTTTGAATCTCCTTATTTCTGTGGTTTCTTAAACATGTATTGCCAAATTTTCAGCAGATTTTTATAATTGCAATAATGAACTGGGAGTATTTGTAGGAGCACATTTTTCTCAGAAAAAATCCCACATTTACACATACATATAGGCAGTTCGTCATGCCATCTAAGCAGCTAAGTGTTCAGTTACTCAACTTGTGCATGCAAGTTCAATCTGTGCAAACCAAAAGGCGTGCAAATATTGCACCTGGCATTAAGGAGTCCTGCTGCATTTTTGGCAACGTGTGGTGTTTAACATTTCGGCTTTCTTCCTGTTGGGTTTTTGTTTGTTTGTTTGTTTGTTTTGCTGATTTATTAACTCAAGTCCTATGTCAATGTGCTGCTATAAAAAATAATAAAGTATATTGACATCCAAAGATCGGAGTCATTGAGGTATAGAAGTTAGAGATGGAAAAGACCTATATGATCATTCATTCTCTTCCTCTAACAGCTCCCTCTAGTACCTATACTCACTCTAATATAGGTTACTGACATATCTAAAGTACCCTATCATTCTAAAATACAGGTGCATTTCTGCTTATTTTAAGCTTAACTATCTAGAGGTTTTTTTTAAGACCTGATTGATATATCATGAAAGACTTTGAAAACTATTCTGTTTGTTACATAATTGTGTCTCTTTGCCACACAGTCCATACCTTCACCTGCTCCTGTTGCCCTTTCCCACATGCTCCTCTGTTTATTTCCTCAGAGTTGGTTGCTGTGGAAATTCTGATGGTACAAACATAGGCACCAACTTCCCCTCTTTCCTGTGGGTGCTTGACACTCCCCCCAGCCCTGCCCCTACTCCACCCCTTCCATGAGGCCCTGCCCTTGCCCCACCTCTTCCCATCCCTTCCCCAAAGTCTCCGCCCCAATTCCACCCCTCCCTGCCAATATTCCAACTCCTTCCCCAAATCCCTGCCCTAGCCCTGGCCATGCCTTTTCCCTGCTTCCTCCCCTGAGCACACCACATTCCTGCGCCTCCCCTCCCAGATCATGCTAATGCTGCCAAACAGTTGTTGTTTGGCGGCGGCCAGGCAGGAAACACTGAGAGGTAGGCGGAAGAGTGGGGATGCAGCGCGCTCGGGGCGGAGGAGGAGGTGGGGCGAGGGGTGCTGGTGGGTGCAGAGAACCCACTAATTTTTCCCCGTGGGTGCTCCACTCCCGGAGCACCCACGGAGTGAGCGTCTATGGGTACAAATAGAGAAAGAACAAAGTAGAAAATGAGATATGGACAAAATGACTTTTCAATAAAATGGTTTGTTTCCCTTTTTTCAGTTTTCTGGGAGGCATCAGCTGGTCTTTAAAGGCATCAGTTCACATTGCAGACCCAATGTCTGCAAAGAATGCTTCCATGATACCTTGCAAAACATTGTAGCATTTTAAACTTGTCAAAAAAGCATCTGAAACCACACCGTCTATTTTTGACAGCTCAGGACTATTAAAGCATCAATTTAAATCCTGTGTGAGAAAATTTTTTGCATCTGGCTGATATTTTGCATGCCATATTTCATTCCAAGGAGATTCTAATGAGCAAGTGACAATGTATTGGTACACTACATAATGAAAGTGCCAAGTGACCCTCCATACCGAACACAATGCTATAATTCCGAAATTCTGTTTCCCATTCTGTTGTTCAGGATTAAGTGGAATAGTCTGTTAACATTCTCATAAATCAGAACATAGCAGCTTTTCTGTGACTGTTTTAAGATTGTAAATTGTTCCTAGGGACAGTTTTGTTTTTGTACTTTGTGTTTTTGCATTAACAAGGTGTGGTGTGTTAAGTGCTGAGTACTGCTGTCAGTATATGACCAGTTACATGGCTTCTATGAGGTAGGTAAAGATCCAAAATATCCTTTGGTTTGTGTGATCCAGTAACTGGCAGTAAGGAGATATTTGCTTAAAAGTGTACATGTTTGTTACGGATGCCTGCCAGTATTCTCCATTATTTGAATTACATCTTGGTTTTTAGCCTGATACTTATGCAGCATTTTATATTAGTTGTCTATAAGAACATATGCTTCAGTAATGGTAAAAAATTGTTTAATCTTCTCTTGTATCTGGGAATTTTTATCTCAATATATGCTAATCTTTTTAAGCTGATGTAAATGCAGAAGTACTTACTAAATGCAGTTAAGAAAACTGGAAGTTGTGGTGAAAATTTGCTGTTTTTATATTGAATAGCAAGGGATGAGAGTTAGGATTTTGGTGAAAGTTGTTCTGTCTCTGTATCCAGTGTATAAGAGCTCCATAGCAAAAGTGCCTGCATGAGATGTTCCATAGGCTGACAAACATCATCTCAGATAAATATTCCTAATATGAGTCACAGGATGATTTTGGCACTCCATGTCAGTGAATTTGGCTCTAGAAAAGTTGGTCAGAATGCACAATTGGTCCAAACTAACTTCCAACAGTAGGGTAGAAATGACTGTTTGAAATCAAAGGCAGATCAAGTCTTTTCTGTCATATAACATATTGCAGGAATGATAAGGAAAATATTCCATTCATGTCGCACTGATTCAATTTGGTTCAAGTTTTAATTTAATAAAAGCACACCCTTTGTCTCACTCATCATAGACTGGTACTGGTAAAGACGATACTAGATAGATTTTCAAAGAAAAGCACAATGAAGTGGTTTCAAATATGTACATTTCCATGTGAAAATCAAGTAAGTGTGGGTCTGGCAATTTGGTTGAATGTATCCTGTATGAGCCTTTTTTGGCCATACCTGCTCCACCCATGTTAAAAATGTGGTTGTAAAGGCCCACAGTATTTGCTAAGAAGGGGCATTAATACCTGCTCACTGTTTCCTGACTGAACTTCCAAGGTAATATTGTCTGTTTAGTTATCTTGTCATTTTAAGACTTAATATTCTACACTTGTATTTGGAATAAATGAGTCCTGAGGGGAATTAGAAAAATTACAGCACACCTCTACCCGATATAACGCAGCCAGATATAACATGAATTCGGATATAACGCGGTAAAGCAGCGCTCCGGGCAGGCGGGGCTGCACACTCTGGTGGATCAAAGCAAGTTCGATATAACGCGGTTTCACCTATAACGCAGTAAGATTTTTTTGGCTCCCGAGGACAGCGTTATATTGGGGTAGAGGTGTATAAAATTCATAATTTTACTTTTAACTTGTATACAAAGTCCAGTAGGACAACTGAATTTGGGTTCTTCCCTTGAAAAGTAGGAATGCCCACTTACAAGATCCACAGTCTCTTGGAGGCCTTTTGAGTTACGTGCTACAGTTACTGAGCCATCATTCTCCAAGTGACAAACATCACAGCATCCATCAGATCCTGCCGCATGTTTTACTAAAAACAATCTCAGATTTCTTGTACACTTTAAAATTGAATCTGTGTCCCCAGTGCAATAAATTTCCAACACTGAGGGCCTGCATCAGAGTTGACTTGAAAAAACTAAAATAATAAAAACTCTGCTTCTTCTAGTCTGACCTATCCAAATCACCCAAGGATAGAAACAAGTCCATCTTATTCCAGCAGCCCAAAATGTGTCTGCAAGATCAAGCATTAAATGTTTCTAGGTGGCTTCAGAAAACAATTCCATGGTAAACATAGCATGTTCTTTGACAGCTCATTTCACCAGAGGGTAGGCAGGCTAGAACAGAACAAGAGAACTCTCCACACCTGCCTTGGGTGAAGCAGCTTCTCTCTGTACACTAATTTCAGGGAAGGATTAATGAAAGATAGAAACTACATTATATGTACAATCTTATCAACCTGGCAGGCAGGCTGAAAGCTATGCTTATGTATTCTTTTCATAGAGCATCTCCTAGTATAGATTGCACTACTGTCTTAATGGAGTTACTAGAGGTTGCCAAGATCTTGCAGTGAGTGCACCAATCAGATTTACCTGGGAATGAGGGAGGACCAGGACCTAAAATACTCATTTTTGTACCTTTCTGTCATTAACCCATTTAATTCTTTTTTTCTAAACAGAATGAAGACGGATTAATGGAGTTCTTTGAAAATGTAGTGAGACAGACACAGATGAATCCAAAGAAAGTGATTGGCTGGATTCTAAATGATATGCTTGGTTATTTAAAACAATACAACCTTAAAGTCAAGGAAAGGTGAAGCTTTCTGATTATATTGAGTTGATCAAACAGAACCATCCGTCTTCCCATGGCAAGACAAACAATTGTGAATAGTATCCCCTAACATCAGCAGTGACTCCTAGTTTAGTGCAATGTAAACAACAAAGGTCCGAATAGTCACAACTTCTTTTGGGAGCCTAGACCTGTAAGGTGTCTTGGTGAACCAAGTCTATTCTATACCCTCCAGAGATGGGAAATCTTTAATCACTATCTATTGTAATCCATGGGTTTCCATTTTTAGCATATTAAAATGGCAAAACCACCTACTCTTCTGACCAAAAATAAATTACATTTTTAAAAGTTGTATTGACCCAGTGTACCACTAGGCAACAAGGTAACTAGTTTGCTTTCAATTATAATATTTAATCTTTGTTTAAATGATTGTATGTCATTTATACAAATGACCATGCACCATGTAGAGATGTTAAGATTATGTTGTGTGTGGTGTGTGTTTGTTTGTTTGAGAGCTCTCACCTCACCTTATTTTTTTAATTTAGTCCAGTCAGTTCTCTCTTCCTGGCTGACCTTCTAAATCTTCTAGAGAGAGGAACAATTTCTTCTTCAGCAGCCAACCAAGTGAGTTTGTTTTGGACTTACCTTTGAAACTGTCACTACTTACTTCATTTTCACAGCAAATCTCCATGTGGAATCCATATGACTTCCATGGTGTCAGTAAATTCATTTTATATTTAAAGCATGAAATATGTCAAACTGCTACTGGAGGTGGGAGGTATGTGTATAAAATTCAGGGTTAAATAGTAGAGAGGGGCCTAAAACAAATCCCTAACAAAGCCAAACATGCCTGAATTTTGGGCAATTTGGATTTGACGCCACTGACCAGTAACCTCTATAATCAAATCCCAAATTCTGAACACTCCTGCATTTTGGGAAGGTTAGAATTGACATCCATGTTTTAGTGGCTTGGTCCAGTCTTTGGTGAGTAGATTCTCTGTTGCTTGAGAAACTTGTTGCTTCATGGTTCTTAATCATTTTAATAGGTGCTGCAGCTGTAAGAGGTCACAGATCTCAGTGAATGGCAAAGGGCAAAACATAGCTGGGTTTGTAAGATAAATTTGTGTCAAGTGCCTTGTGAGACTGAAAGAGGAAGACTTGCCTCAATGACACTCTTTGCTGCATCTTAGCCAGGCACTCAAGACAGAGCCAACTATTTCCCCCCTTTTTTTCAGATAGCTGGCTTGTTTAGGCCAGTCTCTCAAAACAAAGATGGGATCTAAGAAACTGTGCTAACAATACATTTGACATCAGGGAATATGTTAATGATCATTATTATAAATAATCCTAATAATTAATTTGTATTGAGGTAGTGCCTATGGATGCCAATCATGGATGAGAGCCCACTGTGCTAGGCACTAAACAAACATAAAACAAAGTGACAGTCCTCGCCCCAAGATTCTTACAACTTAAGTAGAAGACAAAACACATGGGGAGCACAAGATAACAATGAGACAATGCCAGTTAACATAACTGTTATCAAGGTTTTTTTAGGCTTTATGGTGGAAGTGAGTTGAAAGGAGAGATTTTAGGACACTAGTGAAGTGACTCTGCACTTGTTTACAGTGAGTCTCTCTCATGCATGCTGGGCAGTGAGGGAGAAAGGATAAAGGTGCTTATTTGAAAAAATTTAACAAATGGCTACTGAATGCTGACACTCTTGGCAGAGCAGAGGAAGGTGTTCATGTCACATTTGAAAACAGTGAGCGTTTTTGCAGGGTTACTGGTAATCTGCAAAAAAATTGCCTCAGCTTCTGCTGATCTTTCTGGAAAAGCTACTGGATATTTTTTTTAGAAATACACTCCAAAATTCTAACATGGTGAGTATATTTTTGAATAATTTTATAAAATTTATTTTTTCACCATTTTATATTTATTAAAAAAAAATTAAGATCTTTCATTCCCCTTCAAGATCTTCACTTGAGGTTTTCTGATCCCCTGTAAATTGTTTCTTCCAACTCCAGCTAAATCCTGTAGTGACAAAAAGATATATCTGTGTATATATGTTTGATCATACTTTAAAAAATAAACTGTAAAACTGTGTGGGGCACTGTGACTTTTGTTTGAGTGCAGAGCACCTATCACGTTTTAGGTCCTATGATAATATAATTAATAACTATTTTGTCTCTTTAAACCTTGCAAGTTTATAGCTGTAGAATATTAAACAAACACCACTGGATAAATACACTGGCTAGTTTTTTAAATTCTAAAATAGTCAACAGTGAAATTAAGACATTTAACTCACATAATGAGGTTCCAGGGTTAATGTTCTTAGATCAACAAGGGCAGATGTTTGCATATTCCTTCCACCTATTCTTTCATTCTAGCTACAGATTTGGAATGGAATTAGTGTCTATTCACTTTTGCATGTTTGTCTTTGCATCAAAAAATAGTTATAAAGAGAACAAGAGTTCTAAGTCTGGGTGCTTAAAGTTAAATTAAACTGGCCTGGTTTTTGGTGAAGCTGAGACGTCTCAGTTCGTAGTTTAAGCCAGTCAGAATTGGGGTTGATCATGGTGGTTGGAAATGGTCTTAAAACAATAAAAGTTTGTAATGGGCAGAAAACACTGAGAATACTTAGTGCATGTGGATATACAGAAATTCTGTGTACGTGATTTTTGAGAGTGCCCATCAGCCTGATGCCTAAAACTTTGAGGATGACCTTCAGAGTTTATTTTTAGCTGTTTCCTTGTTGTGGTGTTTGTCAGAAAGTTAACATTGTTTTAACAGAGCTTTTTTCATTTTAATTTATTTATACAGAGGCAGTTTTGACAAGATATAAAATTAGGAATTTCAGAGAGATTGCATCTCCTGCTTAATTACTAGCTCCTTGTAGTATATGTATTGTGCTCTATGATCTGAATTCGGACATAGTAATAACTCTACTGTTTGTCCATCACTGAGCGATGCTATCAAACTTTGCCACATTTAGAAAAGTATTTGGTTGCCTAGATGTCAGAAGAACAACAAATGTTTATAACAGTTCTCTGCAGTAGGCAGAGATATTGGATGCCCTGAGGGCAAAAAAGGCTATATATACACACAACAGCAGATGCACTGCAGCATTTGAGGTAGGTGGGAGGAATTAACTGCAGTAGTGAAGACAGAGCCAACAAGAAAAGATGGAAGAGATTGATGGGATGAGCAAATAGTCATGCATATGCATATGCTTGTACTGCAGGAAGTGCCAACAGTTTTTAAATTTTTAAGAGGTCTGTGCTCATTCTCAGTTGTACAAGGCAATAAAATTCACATAGATAAAAACTGTGAACATTTATTAAATGTGGACGGTTACATGGTGGATATTGCATGTCAAAGAAGGGACACTGCTGTACAATGCTGTGTTATGTAATTACAGCACACAAACCAAACTTATCTTCAAAAATAGTGTGTGCACTAATCAGGGCTACCATTGCAGGCACATGGTTTGACAAAATTTATTGTTTGCACAATGGTTTAGCTCATCTGCACAGCAATACTTTGACAGAACCGTTTGGCACTTCTACATACAGCAGATACCAGGGAGGTGAGCACAGTGTATGAACTTAAGTTGAACAGGACCCTTTTACAATCGTGATTGTAACAGCGCAGTCTGGGGAATCCGGAGCACCTGATCCAAAGTGCACAGCACTTGTTAGAAGCAGAGGCTTTTGGATAATTTGCAAACACAAAGACATTGCATTCTGGGAGGAGGAATGGATACAGGACGGGCCAGAATGGTGTAGCTGCAGTATTTGTACCCCTACATGGAACAAGCAGTTGCAGACTGGTTTCAACTGAAAACCTTTTCCCAGGTGTGTCAACCAGCTTGCACATTCAACAGTTGTAAAATGCTTAAAATGACACTTTTGTGGATGAAAGACTTGCAAGCAGTTACTAAATCATTCTGACCAATGGTTTGGTGCTAGGCATACGTGGCTAGATAATCTGAATCAAAACTCGGCTAGAATCTGTAGTTGCCGCTATTGGGATTTCAGTAATGAAGGTAAGACTGAGAATTTCATTTTGGCATTGGAGACTTTATAATTAGGCCCCACTGTTCATGTTTAGCCAGTTTATAGCCTGGTTTGACCAGTGAGTATAGATGAATTAAAACTCTGTTTTTAGACTAGACTTTTATCTAGACTAGAACAGCATTTAAAAAAAGAAAATGAGTGGGATGAGGCCAGTTTTTTTGGCCTGTCAAATCTGTCTAGCTTTTTCTACAAACTATAATATCAGTCTAATAGGAAACCATATTTGAATAGTATTGGTCTCTCAGTTGTGTCTGTATATAACAATGTAGATGGAAGGGCAGGGGGCAAAGGGGCCCTTAAACCCTTGAGGCTAATTCTTTCTGGCTGAGAAAAGCCTACAAGAGCCCAAGAAAAAGTAAATGGAGTAGAACTACACTTCTGCATAATAGAACTGCACTTGATTATGCATGCATGAATAAAATGCTTTCTGTTTAACCTCTGAATAGTACTGTAATATATTATATGCAGTGTCCAAGGTTCCCCTTATAATGGACTAACCAATATAATTAATTAGCTTCTCCCTCCTCGACTTTCAGAAATAGCCCAAGGAGGATTTGTGTCCAAGTACTCCATACAGGGCCAGCTCTAGGCACCAGCAAAACAAGCTGGTGCTTGGGGCGGCACATTTTTAGGGGCAGCATGGCCGGCGCCAGAATGCCGCCCCTAAAAATGTGCCCTGGCTGCCCTAGCTCACCTCCGCTGCTGCTGCCACGGCGGGCGAAACAGCTGATTCGCACGCCGCTGCTCCCCCTCCCTCCCAGGCCCTCAAACCTGGGAGGGAGGGGGAGATCCCGAGCGGCCGTTTCGCGCGCTGCTGCCCCCCCTCCCTCCCAGGCTTGGGCGCCTGGGAGGGAGGGGGAGAAGCGGCGCCCGCGCCACGTCCACTTGGAGTCTCCCCCTCCCTCCCAGGCTCTCAAACCTGGGAGGGGGGGAGACTCCGAGTGGCCGCGGCACTGCTTCTCCGCCTCCCTCCCTCCCTCCTAGGCTTGAGAGCCTGGGGGGAGAGGCAGGGCTGGGGATTTGGGGAAGGGGTGGAGTTGAGGCGGGGCTGGGGGTGGGGTAATTAAGTAAGGGGTGGGGGGCGGCCAAAATTGTTTTTGCTTTGGGTGGCAAAAATCCTAGAGCCGGCCCTGACTCCATAGAAGGAGCCAGTATTGTACTCAAGCAATAGAAGGATACTTTTTAAAGCTACAAAACCCAAACCGACATAGCTTGCTGTGTATATTTACAAGAGTAAATCCAGTCTCTTCCTGATCCCCCTAAGATAGTGTATAATAGGCAAAATCTCTCTGCACCATGATATGCTTAGCATAGGAGATGAGACAGCTGTCAGGGGAACCAGTTATTGCTCCCTAATTCTCAAACTTCCCTCGCCCTGACTGAAGTTAGACCACTCAATGGGCTTCTCTTGGTAATTCTGCTAGGAGTAGAGGTGTGTGTGTGTGTGTGTGTGTGTGTGTGTGTGTGTGTGTGTGTGTGTGTGTGTGTGTGTGTGTGTGTGTGTGTGTGTGTGTGTGTGTGTCTGTCCTCCTTCCTGAGCACCCTGGGAAAGGACCACGGTTTCAGATTTGCAGGTATGGTACATGCCAAACCTACAATCAGTTTCTGCCCTTTTCTTAGAAAGATGTGGGTTCTTTGTTGGTTAGTTTCTATTTTGAGCAAGATCTCTGGGGAGTTTTTCTCTGAGCTAGTGTGTGCAAATTGCAAGTTGCACTTCCATGAGGCGTGACATGGAGTCACAATGCCTCAGGGGAGATCAGGGAGAATTACCTTCCAGAAAGCTTCCCGTCTGCTCCCTTGGGGAGGACTGAGCACCTGCTGATAGTAGGGAGGAAGCAACTGTGGGTGTTCCTTAAGTGAGCCCTCGGCATAGTTGGTGAAGTGGACAAGGCCTCTGTCTGACTGTAGGAAAAAATTCAGCTTACCCAGGCTATTCCAGGTGTGTCTGCAGTGGTGCTAAGGAATGAACTGGAAGGGGGGGGGCATCTTGAGTTTTAGATAGGAATGGTTAAAATATCACTTATGGTGGTTGTAACTCTGATTGGATATCAGTAATTTTAAATAATTTGATCTGTCTTTTCTGCTCTTCTTCCTTTCACAAGGAAAACACAAGACCTGCAATGTGGCTTCGAGACAACTTTGTTGTTGTTCTCTCAAGGCCTCTGGCAAAACAAAAACAATAAGATTCTATTGGCGGGAGGAGGAGGGGTTGGGGCATAGGAGGCAAATTTGAGTCGCACCTGGCTTGGAGTAGGTAGCATCAATGCAGAGTTCTTAAAGTACCTGCCACAACTGTCACATCGTTTCATGCTGAAGGGCTTTCCTATTGGAGAAAAATCTGTGAGAGGATTAAAATGTCATTCCATTTATTTTGTTTTTCATAAACCATCTTGCTGCACTACTAATTATTAAAATGGCTTTAAATTAGGACTCCTCACCCCAGCCTCATCTTGATCCCACAGCAAATTTGTAGTGCTGCATTTTTGACATGGCATTCGTTTCCATCCTGGCACACTGGGGCGACCCAAACTTACAATTATATCTTCAGGGCAGGATTAAGCAGAAGCAGTTGTTTTAATAAGGGCTTTCTCTCTCTCACATCCCCCATCTCTGAAATAAGAACAGAGGAAATACAGAAAATGACTGCCCGAGGAAATTGCTTTTTTTATATAAATGCTCTCTTCTCCTGAGTTTATTCCATGGTGATAGCCTTGCTACAAAGTAGGGGAACACATTCATATTAGCTAGTAATTATTCCAGAAGCTTAGGTTTACCCAGCTATTCCTGGAGGTGAGATATGGATGGGATAGGGCTGCCAGATGGATTCTGATTTGCAATATTTTTCTTCTATTTTCTATTAAGCATCCTCACTCTCCCTCCTGTAGTGGTGATGGTCTGTAAATGAGATGAGTTACCTGGAATCGGTTTAGGCACAATAGTTGTCTAATTGTCAGTTCTCTGCAGCGGCATTCTCTGTTGACCATGCATGTTGTAATTTCTTTTAGCAACACTCGTATGAATAACATGGGATTACTACACCACCTTCTCGTACGGCAATTTTACAGTAGGGGCACAAAGAGCATCACTGTTGCAAAGCTGCGTGATGTGCATATTGTGTTTCAGAATAAAGGGAGGGGACATGGTGTGCTCTGGATTATTGCACTCTACTTTAAGCTGTGTTCAGATAATAAATTAAACTGAGTTGCTTGATTTCATCCTGGTGCTCTTGTGGGTGGGCAGGTTTTGCTCTGGAGAGGCACTAGCAAGTCAAGATTGAGATGTGTCCACAGAGCTGCATGGGAAAGTTTGTCAATCACATAAATGTTAACCCTTTGCTTTTATTCTGACTAAATTCACTCACACATTACTGCAGTGGAAAGTGTGAATGCAACAGGCACTGATTCCCCTCCTCTATCTTTTTTGATGCTGCAGGTGCTTGAGGAATTGTGGAAGGGGGAGGGGAAGACCCCACTTCAGATTGTTAAAGAAAAGAAACTTGGACTTATCCAGGATCAGCAAGAGCTTGAACAGATCTGTCAGGCAGTGATGGAAGGACATCAGGAAGAGGTGATTAGAACAGGGGTGGGAACTGAATTACAGCAGCTTGGACATGTTGGTAGTCTGTGATGCTAACGGGTTTAAATTGCCATCTTTCCTCTGGCTCTGCATTTGTTTGTACATCTTCAAAGAGAAATGAAGGATTTATTAGTCTGGCTTGTCCAAGAAGCCAAGTCATTCTGACTATGCATAAAAGTGATAGTGCAAGAAAACAAGCACAGTAGAAGTCCTATCCCTTTTAACTGTATGTGTCCAGAGAGCACTTTCATTAACCTGGCCTGGCAGTTTTGATCAGTATAATTCCCAGATTTTTTTTTCTTGTCATCTTAGGAGATATCCAAGGTCAAAGAGATGAAATTAATATAACTGTGTGAAAACTCAGGGTATCTAACGAAGTCATTATTTATGCTACATGAATAATATTAGCTTTAAAGGAGATAGCATCAATGTTGGTAAGCCAAAAAGTTGGCTTATTGTATCTCTTTGCAAAGTCCATGTCTCTTCTTCCAAGAAATATATACTGACTGGCTAACCTCGTGAGCAATCTTACACTAACACAGCGTGTGTATGTCATAGAAGAAAGCTTTAAACATTTTGATTTCAAGATTCCAGAGATTTTCAGTTAGAAAAAGTAAACTTGTAAATTATGAAAGGGGGGCAAAATGGAGGGGTAACCTTGACCACGTCCAATATTAGTTTTATGAAAAAGGTGCTTTTGTATTCTCTCGAGTGCAAAATGTAAAAGCAGGAATGAATGGCTTATTTTAAGTATAAACATAGTCTAGCCACATTTGCAGTTGGAAAAAAAAAAAAAGCTAACATCTTTTGAGAACAATACCACCCACGCCAAAGTCTCACGGGGAGATACTAACAGCTTTGCAAAGAGCTTTTGATAAAGAAAATGAACTTGCAGTAGATTTGCATGACCTCCCTTATATTGACTCATTTGCAGTGGCTGATAAATATGCTTCTGTATTTTCAGACTAGTACTGAAGCGCAAGAGCAGAGAGCTACTAGAACTGTTCAACAGCACAAAAGCTGAAGGTCCATAACCAGATTCCTGTTTCAATAATAATAATTTTGTAAGAATTTAATTGCTCCCTCAGCTTCCAGTGTTTTAGCAAAGCCAGCTGTGATAAAGCAGCCTTATTTTCCAGCTGCTTTCAGGTGATCGTTTTAGTAAAGAAGCTTTTAGGTCTGTGCTTTAAATTACCATAAGATCTTACCTTACAAAACAGGTAGTTGGGCTATTGCAAGAGAAAATGCCTTGCTTTTTAATACTAGTTTATTTTTTTTAAAAAGGGAAACTAACATTCAAATACTGAGTAATTTATGAATTGATGCAATACCTAAACTTAATTGAACTTTCCAATTTAAATAATTGCAAGCAGATAAAGATAGCAATGTGCCCTATCTATGCTGGGACATTATAGATAAGAGTTAAGATGGGCTAAAATTCAGATACAATAATATAGGGTTACCATATCTAATAAATAAAAAAAGAGGACCCTCCATGGGCCCTGGCCCTGCCCATTTCCCCACCCCCTAGCCCCGCCCCAACTCCACCCCTTCCCCGCCCTAACTCCGCCCCCTCCTCCCTCCCACTCCCAGCCACGGGGAAAGGGCTGCCCCAGTGCTACCGGCTTCATGGTTTGCCGGGCAGCCCCCAGACCCTGCACCCCCAGCCGGCGCTTCCCCAGCGCAGCTGGAGCCCGGGAAGGGAAGTGCCTGGCCAGCGGCTGGGGGTCCGGAGGCAGGGGGGGCTGCCCGA